GCTATGCACTTGGACAAATGCTTTGGCCATCATCTCTGCTTTCTCCTCATCTGTTACTGCCACATCCTCCCCACTCATCAACACTGGATAATCCCATTCATCCTCTTAATCATCCCCCACACTTCTCCCACAGGTGTCGCCCTTCCAATGGTGTCACAGAACCGATGCCAACATGACCTCTTTGCCTGATGGATAGATCTCCTCACCAGGGCCTGGGCCTGCTTATACTGAATCAGATGTTGGAAGTTATGCGTCCTTTTCAGTATTCTAAATGCACTGTTCCTAATCCTCACCATTGCCCCACATTCCTCCGTCCACCATGGGACTGCTTTCCTCCTCCTCCTCCTCCTCCCTGAACTCTTAGGTATAGCATCAGTAGCTGCCCCCACTAACGCTGTTCTCACCCAGTTATTCATACTATCTACATCCCCTCTCATATCCACCCGAGCCATCACCTGCTCACTCAGCTCCTGAAACTGATCCCACTTTGCCCTTCCAAACACCCACCTGCCTACTCCATCCACTAACACCTCCTCCTCCCTCCGGCCTACTGTGAATACAATGGGGTAATGATCACTCCCTACTGTCGACTCCTCCCATACCTCCCACTCACATATTCCTGCCATCGCACTAGATACCAGAGTGAGGTCCAAGGCAGACTCTTTCCCTGTGGCTACATCAATCCTGGTCCGTCGGCCATCATTCAGGCACATCTTTATTTTCTATCAAATGTTCTATCACTTGGCCATCTTCCACTTCCAAGATGGCATAGCAGTGCGGTCGTGTTCTTTGTTGTGTGTCTGTGTAAATAGCCTGTTTTTTGTATTTTTTTTGTACATATTTCCCTATCACACTTTTCATCCTTCTACAAAATATACTTTCCTGCAACCCGCCTCACTCAATGTGGAACGGATTCTATTATTGACTTACCTTTTATCTAGAATCTCCAGTTGATACCAGCTAGCCAGCTAACTAGCTACTTGCTATTAGCCACCGTTAGCGGTTTTCACCCAGAACATCGGATTTTCTGCCGGAATAACTGAATCACTGGACATTAACACCGGATCGCAACTAGCTAGCCCCAACCGAATTGGATGTTGCTGTTTGGCTAATCACCACTGCCCCTGAAGCAAGCACCAGTTAGCCTTGAGCCAGGCCCATATCCCGGCTATCTACCTCTCTGTCTACCGGACGGGAGTAGCCAGCTAACTAGCTACTTGCCATTAGCCACCGCTAGCGGTTTCTCACCATTGTCCGTGGCCTGCACTACCTACCAGCCAGCTCTAGCCTGGACTATTATCCGCCAGTCTGCACTGTCTGCACAGCGCATTATCGACCCAGAACATATCGTTTTTTCTGCCGGAATCACTGATTCACTGGACCTTTATCACCGGATCATCGTAGCTAGATAGCTGCAATCAAATGGACGTTGTTGTTGGCTAATCAGCCTCGAGCTAGCCGCGAGCCAGGGCCTTCTCCCGGCTATCTACCTCTCTGTCAACCGGACTGGACCTCCTTGTGTTGACACGGAGCCCCGCCGATCCAACACGACTGGTCTGCTGACGAAATCGTCTGATGTGATTACAACAGGTTTCCCGTTACGACGTCGACCACGAAGATCAATCTGCTAGCCCCGGCCCGCTAGCACATGCTAGCCGTGGCCTCTTGCTCGCTAGTGCTATAGCAGCCCCCGAACTACCTCCGAACTCTCCTATTGCTGTTCACCGGACCTTATGATAACTCAGCTATACAGCTAATGCCTGCTGGACTGTTCCTTTATACGGTACCGCATCCTGTTTATGTTTAGCCTCAGCCCAAACTTTGTCGCCATTACCAGCTGTTGTCTTAGCTCTCGAATAACACCTGTGATTGCTTTATGCCTCTCTCCCATTTCAATATGCCTTGCTTATTGCTGTTTCGGTTATTTCTTATTGTACTATTTCACTGTAGATCCCAACTGCCCACTGCACTGAGGCTAGGAAACACTGTCACCACCGATAAATCTACAATAATCGAGAATATCAACAAGCATTTTGCTACGGCTGGCCATGCATTCCACCTGGCTACCACTACCCCGGCCACCAAATCAGCTGGGCTAGACAATCTGGACCCTTTCTTTCTAAAATTAGCCGAAGAAATTGTCGCAACCCCTATTTCTAGCCTGTTCAACCTGTCTTTCGTAACGTCTGAGATCCCCCAGAGATTGGAAAGCTGCCGCGGTCATCCCCCTCTTCAAAGGGGGTGACACTCTAGATCCAAACTGTTACAGACCTATATCCATCCTGCCCTGCCTTTCGAAAGTATTTGGAAGCCAAGTTAACAAACAGATCACCGGCCATTTCGATTCCCACCGTAACTTCTCCGCTATGCAATCCGGTTTCCGAGCTGGTCATGGGTGCACCTCAGCCACGCTCAAGACAAAAGACAGTACTGCGCAGCAGTCTTCATCGACCTGGCCAAGGCTTTCGACTCTGTCAACCACTGCATTCTTATTGGCGTACTAAATATCCTTGGTTTCTCTAATGACTGCCTCACCTGGTTCACCAACTACTTCTCAGATAGAGTTCAATGTGTCAAATCGGAGGGCCTGTTGTCTGGACCTCTGGCCTTCTCTATGGGGGCGCTACAGGGTTCAATTCTCGGGCCGACTCTATTCTCTGTGTATATCAATGATGTTGCTCTTACTGCTGGTGAAGCTCGGATCCACCTCTATGCGGACGACACCATTTTGTATACATCTGGCCCTTCATTGGACACTGTATTAACAAACCTCCAAACGAGCTTCAACGCCATACAACACTCCTTCCGTAGCCTCCAACTGCTCTTAAACACTAGTAAAACTAAATGCATGCTCTTCAACCGAACGCTGCTTGCACCAGCCCACCCGACTAGAATCACTACTCTCGGCGGGTCTGACCTAGAGTACGTGGACAACTACAAATACCTAGGTGTCTGGTTAGACTGTAAACTCTCCTTCCAGACTCACATTAAGCATCTCCAATCAAAAGTTAGATCTAGAATTGGCTTCCTATTTCGTAACAAAGCCTCGTTCACTCATGCTGCCAAACATGCCCTCGTAAAACTGACTATCCTACCGATCCTTGACTTCGTTGATGTCATTTACAAAATAGCCTCCAACACTCTACTCAGCAAATTGGATGTAGTCTATCACAGTGCCATCCGTTTTGTCACCAAAGCCCCATATACTACCCACCATTGTGACCTGTACGCTCTTGTTGGCTGGCCCTCACTACATATTCGTCACCAAACCCACTGGCTCCAGGTCATCTATAAATCACTGCTAGGCAAATCTCTGTCTTACCTTAGCTCACCGGTCACCATAGCAACACTCACCCGTAGTCTGCGCTCCAGCAGGTATATCTCACTGGTCATCCCCAAAGCCAACACCTCCTTTGGCCGCCATTCCTTCCAGTTCTCTGCTGCCAATGACTGTAACGAACTGCAAAAATCTCTGAAGCTGGAGACTCTTATCTCCCTCACTAACTTTAAGTGTCAGTTGTCAGAGCAGCTTACCGATCACTGGACCTGTACACAGCCATTCTGAAATTAGCCCACCCAACTACCTCATCCCCATATTGTTATTTATTTTGTACCCCAGTATCTCTATTTGCACATCATCTTTTGCACATCTATCATTCCAGTGTTAATACGAAATTGTAACTATTTTGCACTATGGCCCATTTATTGCCTTACCTCCATAACTTACTACATTCACACGCACTGTATATATATTTTCTGTTTGTATTTTCTGTTTGTATTTTCTATGTATACCATATCGCTGCCCTTAAATCACAGTTTTAAAAATATATATATACTACGATTAAGTACCTTTGACGAATGGAAAGGACGTCAGAAGATCTTCTTCTAGTTTTAGTTACAGCACAATACAAATTGTCATTACTGCCACCAACGTATATGGGGTGTAATAACAGCCGTGGTTGATGCTTTTTGCCTACTCGGAAATTACGATATGAAACGTTGATTTGAACCTTCTGACCATCTAGTGGTCAGGCGGCGCCCCACTGTCTGATTCATATTGCGTGATTTCTGATGATTGTTCTCGATTAAACCGACTGATTGGTTCTGTATCGGGTGAGCAGGATTGGCTATAGCCCTCAAACTCAACTCTGGATCTCAAAACCGGTTCCACTGCCTTTCTTCGTTGTTCTCTTCTAATCAGGGACTGATGTAGACCTGGGACACCAGGTGGGTGCAATTAATTATCAGGTAGAACAGAAAACCAGCAGGCTCCAGACCTCGTAGAACAGCGTTTCCCAAACTTGGTGTACGTTTTGGTTTTTGCCCTAACACTAAACAGCTGATTCAAATTATCAAAGCGTGATGATTAGTTGATTATTTGAATCAGCTGTGTAGTGCTAGGGGAAAAACAAACAAAACGTGCACCGCTTGGGGTCCAGAGAACTTAGTCTGGGAAACCCTGTCGTAGGGTAAGAGTTGAATACCCCTGGGCATCGGTCAAATATTAGGTTCTGTAGCTGTGTATTTTATCGAAACAAATCTACAATGGTTTGTTTTTTTGCCTCAGGGTAAGTAGTAACAAGCCTAGACTAGTCTTATGCGATGCAAACATCTGAATTGTGTGTGTTCTTCCTCCTTTAAATCAATCATAATATTTTTTTAATGCCTTACAGGTTGTTTTCCCTGTTGATGGTAGCTGTGGGCATACAACCACTTCAGACATCTTCTATAAGTATGCAATTTGCACCCGGCATATTCAAGCACTAAACGTTTGACAATATTTGTTTTGATTGACTAACTTTTCCCGTTCCAGATGACCTCAACGCTGAATGCCTGGGTAACGTTATACGTTTGAGTGTGGCTCCTCATTTTGAAGAAGAGTTTGAAGTTGATGCTGTTTTTAGTGAGTTTGACTCTCTTTTATGAATCTTTCCTAATTCATGGATTGATTTTGTTTGTTAACTATTGTTTTCACACCATCTCATCCCTAACAGATAACACGAAAATCATACACCTGACGCCCGGACTTGCTACTCAGTGTGGATTCAGCTTTAAATTCGACCCCATGGGGAATGCCATGTTTTTTGCTTCTCTTCAAAACTGCTTTTCCCGAAACATGGTAATACTATAAACACTAGTGTTTGCTTGAACTTCAAATTGACATTTTGTTGCAATTTCACTGCAATTGGAACCATTTTATTTAACATTATTTTGACATGGCGTCATGCTGAGACCAAGCTCTCTTTTACAGATGAGCCCTAGAGACACCTCAATATTCACATCAATACAAGAAAAACAAAGACATTATTCAGTAAAAAGGACCTCAATCAGCCTTTTGAATTGCTGTAGAGGCACTAATTCATCAAATTTTAGAGCCTTAGATTATTCCACAAGTAAGGTGGCAAAAACATTTTAGCAGATTTACTTAACTCTGGCTATCGACAGGATCTCCGTAGTTAGCCATCCCTGAGACTGGGTCTGGTATCTCGTACCTGTAAGTTAACAGTAAAGTACAGCGGAAGTGTATTGAGGAGCACTCTAAAAACAGTACAATGTATTGATATGAGACTTCATAGGGCCAGCCTACTTTCTGATACAGAATGCAGTGATGTGTACTACTGAGCCCATCTCCCATAGTAAAGTGTAGTGTTGCTTCAATACAGTGGCAGCTGCGTTCATAGACAATTTTGCCATAGTCTATAACTGGCATGAATGTCAACTGAATTATTTATTTTCTGCTATATAATGAAAGGCATTTCCTTCATTTTAGGATGATAAGATGTTCAGCTTGGTCATACAGTTTAGGCTGCCAGGAAACCACTTGACTGAAGACCCTGTGTATAGAGTGGGCAAAACTTGTAGCTACACCCGCTGGTCCTCCCGAGAGATTCTGTGCGACCGCAACTACATGGAGGCAAGTGAGCAGAGCATGCCCCAATGGAGATGTTTACAGTCGAGCTTGTCCTAACTGCCTGTATGAATGATCTGTCTAGACCTATAACTCTCCAGTGTTTAATTTAGTCTGCTTCTATGAAACAAAGTAGAGGCCTTGGCCCTTTCTCAACTGTGTGTCCTTGATTCTGCTCGCCTCTTCAAACTGCACATAGGACAACTTTAGAGGAGAGGACTCTTGGCCTATTCTCAATGCATTTGAGGAGAGTGGACACAGATTGAGAAATGGCCTTTGACTTGATTTCTTATTGTACGGGAGGGAGAAAATGGTTAGGGAATAATGGCCTTTCTCCCCTAGGTGTCTGTCAGAAGGACTCTTCCAGACATCCAAACCTTCCCTGAGCAGCCCATTGGAGGCCCGAAAGCAAGGAGCGGCGACCTCCGGAGAGGAGCTGAGGTAGCCATATTTCAGTATCTGTAATTTCACTACAAAAATGTAAGGATGGCGCTGAACAGAATTTGTTTGTTGACAATTTGTTTCATTCATGTTTCCATTTCCTGAGACAGGCTGTTGCTTCAGGATACAAAATGACAGCAGTGGTCTTTAGTCCTAGCAAGAAGGTCATGAAGGTGGATGAGGTCCAAAGAAAGGGCTATGCAATAGCCAACACTCCCACAAGGCTAGTGTTAAGAAGCCCCCATAATGCAGAGGAGACGTACCTCCAGAATGTAAGATGACTTTCTCCACTTCCTCCATGAGCTCCCCCCCCCCACCCTGGTTTTATAACTGGGTCATGTTCAGTAGAGAGAACATTTGGAAACAGTGGCCCTACCTGAACTTGACAAAGAACCAACTTTTTTGCAACATATTTTAATACGGTGTACCCTACTGAACACGGCCCTGGTGTGGTTGCCCCCTGAACAGGTAGCTGGGGTTCCGATGAGGGTGCTCTCAACCTCAACCTTCTTTGCGCAGAAGTGGCTGGTTACTCGAGTAGATGCAACGGCTGTTTGTCCAACACCAGGTTGAGTGTGAAATAATGGAGGAACTTGGGGAGAATTACGATCCTATAAACCAGTTATTAATTGGCTCTAGACAAGACTTTCATTTGTGTTTTATGTAGTTTCTGTCAGTATCTGGGTATTGTTCAGTGGGGAAAATGTTTTGAAATGGGGAGGAACTAACAATTTTTCCAATTGGGGCACATTTGTTTTCAGTTGCAAAATGTTCTGTTACATGTGCACTGGCCTACTGAACATGACCTTGGCTTCTTGTTTCACTGCAGGGGCAGTGGAATTTACCCCAGAAGTGATCACCTGGTACATGCCCAGGCACATAGACCCACTTATCTCCTCTGATGCCTTCACCATGTTGGAGGTCTACATGGGAATTGACGCTAAGAGGCTGGACACTGAGGAAATGGCTGCCAGAAACTACTCGGTTTTAGTCACGGAGGCTCATATTATTGTTGAAATTCCGGTGGGGGCGGTTGGCGGCTATTTCAAGGTCAGCATGGGATGACGAATGTTCTGTTAATTGTAAATCAATCAAATCTTATTTATATAGCCCTTTTTACAGCAGCAGTTGTCAGTGCTTTGCGGTAACCCTTTTCCCATGAGAGATGGGGAAACTCCTAGAAACATTGTCTTGTGTAAAATGTTTCTTGCGCAAAATTACTAATTGTCTGATTTAATCAGGCTAATACACAATTGGTATATACAGCCTGACACATTGGATTGCAAAATCGTGTAAATGTTCCTTACAAGCCAGAAAGTTGACTAAAATTACATTAAAACTTACTCTACCGTTTGTCATGCGGCCGCTTGAAATTTGAGACAAAATATCCACAGGAAAGTATTGTTTACCCAACTTTTTAGAGCTGGTAGGTTTGCCGCTGAATGCAAGCAACGTTCGGTTACGCTCTGCTATTTACATATTGTGCAAGTATTTACTTTGTGAGTCCGTTGACTGAAAATACAAGCCGACAACATATACCTACCACCTCAAGTCTGGTAAACAATACTTTCCTTTGGATATTTTGTCTTAAATTACGAGAGGCTGAAGGACAAACCACACAGATAACCGGTAGAGTAAGTTTCTAAATTTTATTTAACATTCTGGCTTATGAGGAACATTTTACATGTTGCACTCAATTGTGTATTACAGCCTGATTTTGATCAGACATTCCTAAATGCATCACTTGTCTCTCCCGTACAGAGCCATATTCAGGATAACCAGTACTTTGTCACTTACACCATTGAGCCCATGCTTGAGTTGTTGTGGATCGAGGAGGTGGCACACGAGGACACCAGATACAAAGTCCTCTTCCCTATCACAACACCTCCGATGGCCAGGCCGCCACAAGTTCGCAACTGTGAGTTTAGTTTAATGGTGCTTTTGGGCCTACGGGAAGTTGGGACGCCTGGGTCGTTCATTAGGCACAACTGAAGAAAATGTATTGAAACGGGGAGGCCTTACCCGGACTTCTCCAATAACAAATGCTCATTTTCGAATTCCATTGTAACTCAATTCAAAATGTTTTCTTTTGTTTGCCACTGAACAGACACGCCCTTAGACGCAGTTCCTGAGCAGGCAGTGTTTGTGTTTGAGTTGGGGACCTTCAACCTTGATGTGGCGCTGCTGAACATCACCTTTCCCACCGTGGTGCTAACTGTTGCAGAGTGCAACGCCAGAGGCTTCAATGTTCAGGAGCAGCGATCCCTGGACAACACCTTGAAGACCTTCAGGATGGAGGTGCCCTTCTCAGACCCGGTGGTCTTTCAGGAGGTGTGTTTCTGTAAAAGCAAAGTCACATGCAGTAATTTGTGCATGCCCTAAAGTGGGTGAACAACAAAATATAAATAATGGAGAGAATGTACCAAAAATACTTTCTATCCCTCATTTACTCAAGTGTTTCCATTATTTTGGCAGTAGTATGCGTTTTCACTTGCCAATAGTGCTTGATTTTATGATAGATCTACAAGTTAGAGGAATGAGGGCAACATTACTTTTTGTAGTATATCGTTTTTAATAGTCCCCATATGTACTTAGTTATCACTTGCTGTTGAATAGAGTTCTGTTATCAATTGACCAATGCTCTTAACTTCACTACAGAAAAGGCCGGAACAAGGTGTCACAACCTTCACTCTACAGCTGATCTACGGCCTGGTCATCTTGCCAGAGTACACCACTTTCTCTCACTCTGCCGTTGTGGATGCTGTACTGCTGGACATTGGTATGTAACTGTGGTCTCTGGACTACGCTAAACTACTCTTGAATGGTTTCCTCTCGTTTAATGATTAATCTGAAAGGAAATTGGCAGTGAAAGCCAGATGGTTGACTTAAAAGCCCAACTAGCCATACCGTAGGTTTTTTCCTATGCGTTCTCTTCAAAGACAGTATTAAGCTTTAGAGTATTTGGACCCAGTGTCCTGTTCCTGATTTGCCAGGATCGTGGTCATTTAGTCACACCATAGCAAAACATTTTCAACTGAGAACAAGGGTTTCTTCTTGGACAAGTTCAAGTAGTACCTCCATGTTTTTTGTGCTTAATGAACACAACCCTGTTTGTCCTTGTAGTGCCACCCTCAGTCACTGGCAACTGTGATCAGGAGAACTTCTACATCACCGTGGACTACAGGAACCAAGAGCCCTTTTTCGTGGTCTTGGTTGGCAAGCGGCTGCTTAGCAATGAGCTTGCTCAACAGTATTTAACAGAGGGCGACGCAAACTTCACCATCACGTTACCCTTCTCTTCGCCGGACGCAGTGTTTGAGGTACGATGCTCTCCCAAAACAACATGTTAACCAAATTGACGCAACTAGCCTCGCTTTACTTACCCTGTATACATGCATACTAATGAACTCTCCCATCGGTTCTCAGTCGGTTCACTCGTCCTCTGTCAGGAGCAGACTGGATGTGGCTCTCTTGAATCCTTACAACAACATGACCCTCAAATACTTTTCCCTGGCTTGCAGCTTCCTCAAAACACTGACTGGTTGGTTCTCAAACAATTAATTCAGATAACTAGTCATATGATATGGCTACCAAACCTGGGTTCCTTCCAATTACTGTTTGAGACTAATAGTGCCAGATGGCCATGATTTGCACTTTGGGTGCTGTTCTATTGTGCTAGGTAAGCTCAATTAAGTATTGGCAATAAACAAATACTATTTGAACCCAGGTCTGATAGCTACCTGTCCTTTGCCCCCCCCAAGAGTGTTTCTCTAACGGGACGATGACTGCGCTGGCGGTGAAGGTGGAGACTGCTCCCAGTCTGAACCCCGGTCTGCTGACCCTGAGCGACCCTGCCTGTGGCCCCACCTACAGCGACGACCGCTTCGCCTACTTCCACTTCACTGTTAACTCGTGTGGCACCACCAGGAAGGTAAAATTACTGTATTACCCTGAGGTGATGGGTACTGTATTTACAGACTGTTTGCTTCTGCAGGCTGTAATAAGTCAATGCCCCTCTATTACATAGTTTATCAACAATGTCATGCTGTATGAGAACGAAATCTCCTTGCCAGATGAACTTGAGGTGAAGATTAACTCCAATACTTCTTCAGCGGAAGAATATCAGTAAGTGCATTACACATCACAATTGTAGCTAATAGATTTTTTTTCTCACTAATTGCTCAATACTTTAACTTTGTATACAGGGCAAATGTGCCTCTTCTACCAGTGTAGGCCTGTGTCCACTCACTGCTTGATGTTTCCCCTATTGACGTTGTCTACCATCCCTCTTAGGTTAAAGATTTCCTGCTACTATGTGGTCAACATCACTCACACATTGGCCTTCCGTACTAGGCTGCACAACGAGCCTGTTGCCGAGACTGGGACCGGTCGAATAATGGTCAGAATGAGACTCGCGCAGGGTAAGAGTGCACAAATTCAGAATTTCAACTTTACCTCTAAATTCTAGTAACTCCTGAAAATTGAATATAATATTGGAGAACTTGGAAGGTCTCCTTTGGTACATTGATAAATTGTACAAAACCATTCCCAAAATGTAAGCATTATTGTGGTATGTTACTCTTGCATTCTGATTGGCTTGGTGGAAATGTTTCCAATCCATATTGTGTCCATTTATCCAACAATCTTAGATCTACAGGTGTGGCTAGGAGTTGATTTGGGAATTCGTCAGCCTCTAGTTGGGATAGCGTTAGCTATAAATGGGTTGTGTTTATTGGGGCACAACAGTATCCCAAAACGAGCATTTCTTAATGGACAAGTTCAGATGGTACCTTCCTGTTTTGTGCCCACTGAACACTATCCCGGTTGTCTCGTTCTGTGTTCCAGATGCCTCCTATAACACGTTCCACCAGGAGGAGGACTATCCATTGGTGAGGTACCTGAGACAGCCTCTGCACTTCGAGGCGGAGCTGACCAGTTCCGCTGACCCCCAGGTAGCGCTGGTGCTTGACCACTGCTGGGCCACCCTCAACGAGGACCGCGACTCCCGACCCAGATGGAATCTCATCATTAATGGGTAACTTGTTGGATTTTGGCCTTTTCCTTTGGCTACCATTGCTATGCCACCACAAGATGACAAAGCCCCATCCACCGGTCACAATGGGTTGAGCATAAAAACAATGTAAGCCATATGCTGTCACCAGATCTCAACCCAACTGAACACTTATGGGAGATTCTGGGCACTCTTCAGCATATTACATATCTTTGATATATACTTGTTACGGCGTCTACAAGAACCGGAGCACGTGACTTGACTAGTCGTTTACAGTGTTTAACAAATCACAATGCAAATAGTCATCACCCCAAATACAAGCCTACTGCCTAGCCTAACATAGCACGAAAGCTGAACAGGGTTGCAAGATGATGAAACAATTTGAAACAACAAAGTGCATTCAAGACAATTGGCTACTCTGAGATCCCAGTTGTCTTAAACACCATAAGTCAGTTAAGTGAACATCCCTTCACCTAATTTTATGACATCTTTGGTCTGACAGACGCTTATGTGATAACCAGAATGCGTTGGGAGTCGCAAATAGCTTAGCATTAGCTCATAATCAGTACAACCTTCAAAAGTATTTCACACGTGTCATTACAATCTATGCAAGAATCGGCATGCATGATTTGTCACAAGTACTTAAACTTGAATAAAACAGTAAATACATTATACTCCATACATACGGTATGCTACAGTAGAAACGACAACATGCTATACAGAAAATAAGGCACTTTAATAGGAACGCAATGCGGGCACCAGGGGAAAAAGTTTGCGAGTTCTGACTAGCTGTGCAAATGTCTGCACACTTTATCTGGGGAAGTGCTTGGACTTTCTTCGAAGAGAAGTTTGTCCGGCTCATTTAAAGCCTCAAACATAAATAGTCTGCAACAGTGAAATGGGCTACTTATGTGAATTAATGAGGCGACACATTTGAAAATAAAACCATAGATAATTAGAAATTGGCAAGTTGAAACAGACTATAGATAATTATCAGGCAGTGTGCCTTGGTTTGAGGGCAGTGCGGGTTAAGTGTCCTGCTTAACAATCACGTTTTGGAACAGTGAGTGCATTCTGACATCACACGCATAAAAAAAAAAAAAACTCACACTGGGGCGACAAAGATATTTGGGACTCGCATGTGAAGGTTAAGACACTTTGGTGTTTCCTTTATTTTGGCAGTTGTATTCCAAATGTTATCCTGTTGGTTTGCTGCAGTTCAGTGTTGTGCCAATCTAACGCACAGTTCAGATGCCGAACTGCTGGTCAGTCGAATAGAAATTAAGAATGGCTGGCACGGTTGAGAGCTTTGCTTGACTTTCTGATTGGTTTCATACAACTGTTCTTAACACTGACTGAATACTACTTGTTGGTTTTGGGTTGAGTTCAGGCATAACAGTGACCTCGTGTTAAAACACAGTATTGCACTAAACCTAAAGGATGACTCACACCTGTGCAGCATGGCACTTAATGTTTGAAACGTGAATAAGATCGGTTTAAAGGCCCCCCCAGAGGAAGTTGATGCCACTTGCAATGTAATTTCCTGTCCTAGAGGAAATGCATTTTTAATTTCCACCTCGGAAGAATGAATGCTACTATTATTTATATAAATAATTGGGTGTGGGAACCTCCACCTGGAGGTGATTAACATGACCAATGCCGCTCAAGTGTAGCTAGCTATCTTGCTAACCTTATTTAGCTAGCTAATGTTGTCTTTAGCTTTAAATATATTTTTACTACACCGTATTCAAAAGATTAGTGAGCTGGATTTGTCATAAGCATTGATTTTAGGGGGAAACTTTGCTACAGATGGAAACCACTGGCCTTTAACTTCGCCATCTTAGTATCTAGCATTTTGGCATCCTCCATAAATTGGATAACTATTGAAAGATGACTGTATTTCTACGTTGTAATGGACACTGCAACCTTTGGTAGTTAGGCTGCGGTACAGCAAAGCCAAGTCAGCCTGTGCTCATACTTCTCTCGGGAGAAGTGAAATGATGGGCTACAATGACTTTGCCCATGATTATGCATGCTGCAAAAGACATGCAACTACATTCCTTGAATATTTTTTCACGGGTGCCTTTTCATTATCTGGATACACTTGTGGTTTCCAGCTAATGTTACACTAAGCAGTTTAGTGGTCAAAACCATTCATCTGGGTGACAGGGTTTGGAAAATGCTATCACGCAATTATACCATTTTATGAAGTGGGTGTGTATACCAAACATTAGGAACACCTTCCCAATATTGAGTTGTGCCCTCAGAACAGCCTCAATTTATCTGGGCATGGGATGGGGGCCCACAGGGATGGGGGCCCATTCTTGATACACACGGGAAACTGTTGCGTGTGAAACCCAGCAGCTTTGCAGTTCTTGACACAAACCAGTGCGCCTAGCACCTACTACCGTAACCCGTTCAAAGGCACTTAAATATTTTGTCTTGCCCAGTCACAAACACAATCCATGTCTAAAGGCTCAAATCCTTTAACCGGTCTCCTCACCTTCATCTAGTTTGATTTTTGAAGTTGATTTTTAACAAGCGACATCAAAAAGGATTATAGCTCTCACCTGGTCAGTCTGTCATGTTTTGTACAGTCAGTGTATATATTTTAATACAGACTAGCTAAAATTTGCTCCATGCCTCAGGCGGCCAAGTGGACACGAGGCTGTCTGGCTCATCTACATTTTTACATTTACATTTTAGTCATTTAGCAGACGCTCTTATCCAGAGCGACTTACAGGAGCAATTAGGGTTAAGTGCCTTGCTCAAGGGCACATTTACGTCATTTAGCAGACGCTCTAGTCCAGAGCGACTCACAAATTGATGCATTCACCCTATAGCCAGTGGGATAACCACTTTACAATTTATTAATTTTTTTTCGGGGGGGGGGGGGGGGGGGGGGGGGTAGAAGGATTACTTTATCCTATCCCAGGTATTCCTTAAAGAGGTGGGGTTTCAAATGTCTCCGGAAGGTGGTGAGCGACTCCGCTGTGTGTGTGTGTGTGTGTGTGTGTGTGTGTGTGTGTGGGGGGGGGGTGGGGTAAGGGGGGGTAGAAGGATTACTTTATCCTATCCCAGGTATTCCTTAAAGAGGTGGGGTTTCAAATGTCTCCGGAAGGTGGTGAGTGACTCCGCTGTCCTGGCGTCGTGAGGGAGCTTGTTCCACCATTGGGGTGCCAGAGCAGCGAACAGCTTTGACTGGGCTGAGCGGGAACTATGCTTCCGCAGAGGAAGGGGAGCCAGCAGGCCAGAGGTGGATGAACGCAATGCCCTCGCCTGGGTGTAGGGACTGATCAGAGCCTGAAGGTACGGAGGTGCCGTTCCCCTCACTGCTCCATAGGCAAGCACCATGGTCTTGTAACGGATGCGAGCTTCAACTGGAAGCCAGTGGAGTGTGCGGAGGAGGGGGGTGACGTGAGAGAACTTGGGAAGGTTGAACACCAGACGGGCTGCAGCATTCTGGATGAGTTGTAGGGGTTTAATGGCACAGGCAGGGAGCCCAGCCAACAGTGAGTTGCAGTAATCCAGATGGGAGATGACAAGTGCCTGGATTAGGACCTGTGCCGCTTCCTGTGTAAGGCAGGGTCGTACTCTCTGACTGTTGTAGAGCATGAACCTGCAGGATCGGGTCACCGCCTTGATGTAGGCGGAGAACGACAGGGTGTTGTCCAGGGTCACGCCAAGGCTCTTCACACTCTGGGAGGAGGACACAACGGAGTTGTCAACCGTGATGGCGAGATCATGGAACGGGCAGTCCTTCCCCGGGAGGAAGAGCAGCTCCGTCTTGCCAGGGTTCAGCTTGAGGTGGTGATCCGTCATCCATACTGATGTCGGCCAGACATGCAGAGATGCGATTCGCCACCTGGTTATCAGAAGGGGGGGAAAGGAGAAGATTAGTTGTGTGTCGTCTGCGTAGCAATGATAGGAGAGGCCATGTGAGGATATGACAGAGCCAAGTGACTTGGTGTATAGGGAGAATAGGAGAGGGCCTAGAACTGAGCCCTGGGGGACACCAGTGGTGAGAGCACGTGGTGCGGAGACAGCTTCTCGCCACGCCACTTGGTAGGACGCAATCCAGGAGTGAGCCGCGCCGGAGATGCCCAGCTCGGAGAGGGTGGAGAGGAGGATCTGATGGTTCACAGTATCAAAGGCAGCAGACAGGTCTAGAAGGACAAGAGCAGAGGAGAGAGAGTTAGCTTTAGCAGTGCGGAGAGCCTCCGTGACACAGAGAAGAGCAGTCTCAGTTGAAGGACCAGTCCTGAAACCTGACTGGTTTGGATCAAGAAGGTCATTCTGAGAGAGATAGCAAGAGTTGGCTAAAGACGGCACGCTCAATAGTTTTGAAAAGAAAGAAGGGATACTGGTCTGTAGTTGTTGACATCAGTGGGATCGAGTGTTGGTTTTTTGAGAAGGGGTGCAACTCTCGCTCTCTTGAAGACGGAAGGGACATGGCCAGCGGTCAAGGATGAGTTGATCAGCGAGGTGAGGTAGGGGAGAAGGTCACCGGAGATGGTCTGGAGAAGAGAGGAGGGGATGGGGTCAAGCGGGCAGGTTGTTGGGCGGCCTGCAGTCACTAGTCGCAAGATTTTATCTGGAGAGAGAGGGGAGAAAGAAGTCAAAGCATAGGGTAGGGCAGTGTGAGCAGGACCAGCAGTGTCATTAGACTTAACAAACGAGGATCAGATGTCGTCAACCTTTTCAAAATGGTTGACAAAGTCATCCACAGAGAGGGAGGAGGGAGGGAGGGGGGGGGGGGGGGGGGGGGATTCAGCAGTGAGGAGAATGTGGCAAAGAGCTTCCTAGGGTTAGAGGCAGATGCTTGGAATTTAGAGTGGTAGAAAGTGGCCTTAGCAGCAGAAACAGATGAAGAAAATGTAGAGAGGAGGGAGTGAAAAGATGCCAGGTCGGCAGGGAGTTTAGTTTTCTTCCATTTCCGCTCAGCTGCCCGGAGCTCTGTTCTGTGAGCTCGCAATGAGTCATCAAGCCACAGAGCTGGAGGGGAGGACCGAGCCGACCGGGAGGATA